GCAGACCGAGGCGCACGGCGAGGCCGTGCGAGAGCCACGCGGCAGTCTCTGCAGGAGTTCCAGGAGTGGATTGGCTCGCAAGGCGCTCTGGGCATAGTCCACAGGAGCATCGAGCGGGACCCACTCGCCTCGGATGAGCTGCATTTCGAAGGAGGGTGCGCTGTACACCCTATTGAGATCGTGGATCGCAAGGTTCTTCGCTGGCACAAGCTCTGGAAGTCTACGGAGCTCACGTACACCAAGTATTTGGCCACCAGGGACCGTATCCGCCAGTTGGGCATGGTCGAGGAGCTGGTCCCGTTGTCAGTGGCCGACCTGCGGCATGCGCTTCGGCGCATGAAAGCGCGGGCTGGCCTGGGCGCCGACCAGTTGTCACCAGTGGACCTGGAGCGGCTGTCCGACGAGGGCCTCGACGGCTTGTGCCAGCTTTTCCTCATGGTGGAGCAGGGCATGTCCTGGCCCTGGCAGTTGCTCATCGTCATTGGCCGCCTCCTCGCCAAGAAAGGAGGAGGCGACAGAGTTATCGGATTAGTCACCATGCTTTGTCGAGTTTGGAGTGTGGCTCGTGAAGAGCAGATGCGACAATGGTCATCAGACTCAGCCCCGCACTGGGACGCTGCAGTCGCTGGCGACAGCGCGCTGCGGGAGGCCTTTCTCAGGGGCCTCAACTCTGAAGTGTACTCCCGCATGGGGGTGGCACACGGCGAGGCGCTACTGGACGTTGCTTCTTTTTACGACAGTATAGAGTTTGAAGTTCTGGCAGACACGGCAGCGAGGCTCAGCTTCCCTCCTGTTATCCTATTTCTGGAGATGCAGATCTGCGCAGCCCCGCGTGTTGTCTCCCAGTTCCAGTCTTTCTCACTCCCTTTCCAACCCGCCCGCAGCGTGGTCCAGGGGCTGAGGAGCGGCACCAGATTCGGACGTTGCCTCACATACTTTGTCTTAGAAAAGTTGTGCACGGCTCACCCCAATATGACAGAACGCATCTGGATCGACGATCTGGCTCAGAAGGTTGTTGGCTCTCGGCATCAGGTACGGGCGACTTTGATTGCTGGTGTTGCCGACACAGTTGAGGAGTTCAGTCGTGTTTCTTTGGGTATAGCTGCTAAGAGCGTCGTCGTGTGTTCCCATCGCGCCGACGCCAAGGCAGTCGCTCGGGCACCCACAGCAAAGGGCATCGTTCTCAAGGCGGAGCTTCAGGCGGCCTACCTGGGAGTTGACCAGGGTGCAGGCGAGCGAGGAGCTCGTGCCACCGCCCGCAGGCGCGTGGTCAAGGCTCGAGCTCAGCACGGGCGGCTGCGACGCTTCGCGGCCGCGTCGCGGCGCTTCTGGGTTGCTGCACGTGTGGAACGTGCGGGACCGCAGGCAGCCGCCATGCACGGGCACCAGATCTACGGGGTGTTCGGCACGGCTATGCAGCAGCAGCGTCGGAGCTTGGCAGCCGCATCTGGCAGGGTACGCCGCGGCCGCTGTACCACTACCTTGCTGGGGATTCGAGCCCCCACAGCTGATCCAGGTGTACTTCTTCCACGGCAGTGCCTGGCTCAGTGGCTTCAAGTTTGGATTACCGAGCCCTCTCTCAGGGCTGGCGTCTACCGCGTATGGCCTCAGGTGGTATCCCCTCTCAAAGGTATCCCTGAGAGCCAGAGGTCACGGCGCATCCGCGGCCCAATCTCCGCTGTGGCGGCGTACCTACTGCAGGCAGGCTGGGGCCCGAAGACTCCTTCTGAATGGGTGTTGCCGAATGATTGTGGGCAGCACTCGTGGATCTTTGATGACGAGGCTCTCTGCTCACTTGACCAGGCTGACGACTTATTAAGGGAGTTTGAAGGGTCTCTAGCCCTGCGGCAGTGGCGTTTCGCTGCCGAGCTGCATTGCGGAGCAGGGCTGGAGGGAGGTGCAGATCTTTTGAGTCTTCGGAAGTTCATGCGCAATCTTCAGTTTGTGGATCGTGGCCGTCAGTTGTCAGAGTTGATGGTTGCTATTTCAGTCGCAGGTGTTTGGGCCAAGGCGAGGAAGTATGAGGTTCAGTTGTGTGCTTCCAATGTGTGCGATCGTTGTTCTGAGGCTCCCGAGTCCGACTTCCATCGCAACTGGGTTTGTGCATGCAACGCTGATTCTCGTGCCTTCGCAGACTCAGACCAGTTTGCGGCTGAGGCCATGGCAGACCAAGAGGCACATGCATGCTTCTGGAACCGTGGTCTCATTCCAGCGGCATGGACCGCAGTCCCTCCCCCAGCAGGTGAGGAATGCTGGCGAGGCGGGAACCTTCTCACGGCTGAAGCAGGGCCAGGATGTCTGGGCCATGGCACGGTCGACCTCCCTGTTCGAGTGTTTGGAGATGCGTCAGGAGGTCGTGATACCCACGACCCACGCCTCCGTCGTGTTGGACTTGCAGTGTGTGTGTGTGTGTGTGTGTGTGTGTGTGTGTGTTATCGCAGCATTCGACCCCTTCCGCCTGGGGCCACATCTGTTCGGACCGCTAGTCGGAGGTGTGCAGACAGTGGTGAAAGGCGAACTGGTGGCTCTGGAGCTGGCGATCCGATGCACTACGGGCCACCTTCTTTTTATCACAGATTGTGAGGAAATCTGCAGAGGATGGTGGGCCAGAGCATACAGCCGCCCCGCTGGTCAACTAGCGGGCATCTGGAGGCTTATTGGTCGACATCTTCAGTCTCGTTCCCCGACCGAGATCGCAGTCGTTCAGATCCCTTCCCACCTCGAGGCCGAAGAGGTGGTCCGTCACAATCACTCGAGCTGGATGGTGCAGGGCAACGAGGCTGCAGACAGACTGGCGCAGGAGGCCGCCACAGACCATCGAGTGTCGGAGGTCGATCGATTTCGTGTTCAGTCCGTGGAGCAGAAGGCGCTGCTGGTACGGCGGAGGCTGCTGCGGGCAGCGCTGTGCAGCATCCAGAAGGAGCGTGAGCTGGCCGCGGAGAGCGTGCGGCAGCGGCGCGAGGCGCGGCAGCAGCAGCCCGAGGGCAGCGAGTACGAGGCCGCCACCCCTGTTGCTGCCCCGCCGCCTCTCCCTCCTCCCGCCCCTTCGACCATTGCCCGTTTCGGAACCAGTCACGTGCTCGGTGAGGACGGCAGGAGTTGCGTTGTGTGTAAAAGCTTTGCGAGTCGGGCGTCTCGGGATGTCTGGCTTTCTAGTGAATGCACACCGCTTGAACATGTAGATGGTAGGGTGTCTAGGGTCCGTCGGGGGTGCCGTGTGCACGTCGCTGGGGGGTGGGCCCACCCCTCGCGCGCCCTAACGTTTCATCATAGTCTTGGAATATGGTTCTGCAGTGATTGTGGCTACTTCGGCCAGGCCCAGCTCAGGGGCCTCGGTGGCCCCTGCGCCCTCCCCATTTCCAGGGCCAGGCGCGAGTACCTCGATCGGATCTCTCGCGACCTGTTTCCCAAGGTGTAACTGAGCCACGAGCGCTGCTCGTGTTAGAGATCTTTTTCGCTACGCGAAGGCTGTAATCCCTGTGATCCCTGTAATCCCTCCCTCCACCTCGCCCTTCGTCGCCCTGGGGTGGGGGGGGGGGGCGATGGCGACGACGAACGACGACAGGCGTCCAAGGGTCTTGCATCCTTACCTTAGCCTCGCCCGTCCAAGGGTCTTGCGTCCTTAGCGTCCACTGGTCTTGCATCCTCAGCCCAAGGGGCGTTGCATCCTGCATCCTCGCGCCGTTGGGAGCTCTCGGCTTGGTTTGCCATAGTCGGGTGACCCAGGTAGTAACCGCGTGCCGATGATAATAAAGGGACCCCCCCCTTCAGTGTTTAGAGTTGATTATCGTCGCCCTATGCAAAATTCAAATTGGGCGGCGAGCGCTGAGGCCGAACTTCATTACCACCTCGAAACGCTATGTTGAGATAGCAACATCAAGTGATGTTGCTATCCCCGCGCGCGCCTGAACTTTTTCATCTCTGGGGTTGGTTATCCATGGAAAGGGGGGCACATGAGCTACCCTGCATGAGCACTTTAAACCATCAATTTTCATAAAGCGTTTGTAAATTGAAATTTGTAGATTTGGAACTTTTTTTTTTTTTTTTCTTCTTCTCTTCTTCTTCTTCTCTTCTTCCTCTCTTCTTATTATTCTTCTACTTTCCTCTTCTTCTTTTATATTTCTATCTGTCCTCACGCTCGCCTGAACTTTTTTATCACTGGGGTTGATTATCCATGGAAAATGAAGCGCATGAGCTACCCTACGCGAGCACTTACAAATAACATTTTTCATAAAGCGCTTGTAAATAAAATCTAATAGATTTGAAACTCGAGATTTTTTCTTCTCGTCGTCCTTCTCCTCCTCCTATCATTTCTTGTATTTTATTCTTTATTATTTTTATTTTTCTTTTTTTATATATAGCTTCCTCCATTCCAGCGAAATAAGCCATTGTTGAGGATATTTTTATGAAAACTAAACGCCAAGGATGTCTCAAAACGTGCTCGGCTTGGTCTCCTCTTGATCATCTCTTACTTCGGGATTATGCTGAGGTCTGCTGGGCTATTTTTATTATCTCTCCCGGAACCCCGAACTTTATTATCCCCTAGTGTTTATTCTCACGGGAATGAGGTTAGTAGTAGTAGTAGTAGTAGTAGTAGTAGTAGTAGTAGTAGTAGTAGTAGTAGTGGTAGTAGTAGTAGTAGTAGTAGTAGTAGTAGTGGTAGCAGTAGTAGTAGTGGTAGCAGTAGTAGTAGTAGTAGTAGTAGTAGTAGTAGTAGTAGTAGTAATTGTTGTAGTAGTAGTAGTAGTAGTAGTAGTAGTAGTAGTAGTAGTAGTATTAGTACTAGTAGTAGTCGTAGTAGTAGTAGTAGTAGTACTCGTAGTAGTAGTAGTAGTAGTAGTA